ACTGGCCGACATCGTTTTCTTGCTGTAGTCAGCGGCCAGTCCAGCTGTGGAGTCTCCGCTGACTGGCCGACATCGTTTCCTTTCTGTTATCACCGGCCAGTTCAGCCACTGAGTTTTCGGTGACTGGCCGACATCGTTTTTTCGCTGCTTTCACAGGCCATTCGAGCCATGCAAGTTTTGATATGTAACCGACATGGCTTTTTCGCTGATATGGAAACTATATGATGGTTACAAATGACCGTTAGGTTGGGTATGTCTTCAATATGCTAAAAGGTGACACCTAATATTATCCTTGGCCTAGTATAAACGCCGCGTCATCCTTAAACCACTTAACAAAGGCTTATTTCAGTTTTGTTAAAAAAGACGGGATCAAACATGGCTGTGGAATGAAAATTTAATTTGGTTTACATCTATTAATTTTTTAGAGAGCAGCTCTTAGGCGCCCGTTTCCGGCTTGAGCGGCATCGCAGTCGCCGTCGGTGTAACCGCGCGTTGCATTATGGGAAACGTCCCATAATGACGGTGTGTGTGACGTCACGAGGGTCCCGCGCGTTGCATTATGGGAAGCGCCCCATGATGCAACGCGCGGTCGGCGACGGCGACGCCAACATCGCCGTTGGCGTAACCGCGCATTGGGTTATGGGAAACGTCCCATAATGCAACGCGCCGTCTCATTTGTGACCCGCGCATTGCATTATGGGAAGCGTCTCATGATGCAACGCGCGGGCCGGCGACGGCAACGTCGCCGTCGGCGTAACTACGCGTTGAGTCATGGGAAACGTCCTATAATGCAATGTGCAGTCGCATTCGTGACCTGCGCATTGCATTATGGGACGTTTCCTATAATGACGTCACAATTGACGTCACGTGTGACGTCACAAGGGTCCCGCACGTTGCATTATGAAAAAAGTCCAATGATGCAACGCGCGGGTCACTCGTGACCTGCGCGTTGCGTCGTGGCGGCGAAACTTGCTTTCGATGAGTTGGGCATTTTTACTGCGGCACTGCGCTTTCACAAGTTCTCTACGACAAGTCTCAGGGCTTACACCGGGTTTTAAAGAGCTTCTTCGACGAATGACTACGAACGAGTAGAAAACGTGTCTTCAGCATGTTGCCGCCAGCCTCCGCAATGCTCCAAAAACGCGATTTTTCAACATGCAAAATCGCCGATCGGTGGCTTCACTCTCGCGCTGCAGCTGCAGCGACCAAGCGGGGATGCGCGATCCAGCCCTTCGCCCAGGCAGATGCCGAGCGCTCCGCGCAAGCGGTCGTTGAGCGGTCGGGCTCAGTAAGCGATCCACACAGTTGCACGCGCTGCCACCGCTTTCATAGCGTCTGCCCTCGCTTTTTAACAGTTTCGGTTCCCATTGCTATATTGCTGAAAGCATGAAGTTCTGATCGGAACTTCATGCTTTGACAAAAATGTTGATTGTTACTACTTTATTAACGGTGACCCCGACGTTGAGGCATTATTTATTTTTCCTTACAGTTATATAAATCCGATGAAGACAACTACAAGTGCTTTTGTACGAGCCGCAGGATGCAATAGGCCCTTTGCAAAAATCCCAAAAGCCCGCGCGCGCCGCGCTTCAAATAATGGGAGTCCTCGGTACGCCCCTCCTCCGGCTTCCACGTGGCATACGCGAGCAGGCACACGTTACCACGGCAACAAAGCAGCCGAGTTGGGCCGCTGGTTGGGCGAGCGACGATCCGACAGCTGCCCCTTTCGTATCCCTCTCCTTTGTACCGGTTCTGTCGTCTGCTGCACCAACGCTTTGTCGAACCTGGTCAAAACCTGCCACTATTGCGGTGCGCACTAAATGGATTCAGTGACACTTCAATACGTGAAGGCAAGTTCCGACGAATAACGTATTGGAATGAGTTCACCTGTCGCGATGCCTTTACGCTGCCACAGATACGGTACGCCGGCAACGACGTACGACTCGGCGGGATGGCTGCAACGGCTGCTGGCGGTAGCTGCCGGGACGCGCGCGCAGTCGCGGAGGCGCAACGAGAAAGCGCGTGCGCGTGATCTGTACCGAGGGTTCCCAAAATTTCCTGCCGTCGTGGTGCTGTACGTTTTGCAAAGGGTCTAGCTATTAAGCAATACCAAACACGTATGCCGTAAAGCGACCGTCATCTCGGAAGGCGAGTTCCATCTGAGGGGAATTTGTCGTATTGTCTTCTAGCAAACGACATACCTAGCTCTTCATCCGAATAGGTGCGCACAACGTCTTCGACGTAACGCCATATCTTGGGCCTCTTCGCTGGCAAGGCGAATGAGTCGGCGAAGACTTCGCCGAGAACGGCTGCCTCATCGTCACTCGAGCTGGAGCTAAGCTGGTATCTTCGTCGCTGTCGCTGATTTTGCTGCTACTGCGTTTTCTTAGACCTCCTGAAATTAACTGCAGCGATGTCAGCGCCGCAGTATGCTCGAGCCAGTCGGTCATGACAATAAGAACGAAAGCAAGCACAGCAAGAGAGCCCACCCAGCAATCGAAACAAAAAAACAGCGAAACTCCTTCATTCCCCCGCGGCAACGTTGATAACGAAACTGAAATGTTGCGAGTGGCTACAGATCGTACTCCCTCGAAAAAGGCTGCGCGGAGAACTACTCCGGGTCCGAGCGGTCTGTCCGAGGAAGACACAGTTCAGGCGGCACATTCGTTTCTTACATCTTGCTGCATGATCACAATCAAAACATCACGTGCACCCTATTTTCAACCAGAAAGGGTCACTACATTTAACTCTTACGCGCTTATTAAAACCAGATCTGCTTCTCGCTACCACTGCTAGGGGATTCTATGGACTACTTCCATAAACCCCTGCGTGCAACACGGCGCACGTTGCTCTTTGGAAACTAGTTGGCCAGGGAGGAGAGTGGCAGGGTTTCGGTTTCGATCGGCAGCGTGGACTATTAACGGCCGTGATCTCACGTTTTTTGGTCACGAGAGCATCATTTTTGGTCTCTAAACTAACCTAAATGGCCAGACCTCGAATCTATAGCACAAGCCCGAGACGTATAGCTTGTCTTCACACATGCTTGTAGCATTTTTGTACACTATCGAGCCTTTCTGTTTGCGTTTCGAGATATATGTGAACGAGCCAGTGCTGGAAATCTCGACGCTGCGTAGCTCGGGTATCTTGCTTGTCTACGAGCCAACAAGCTGTAACGACCAATAAGTTTGCATACATCAAACTCGACCCTTTACAGCTGGTCAGGAAGTTTGTTTTGTGCGTCCATAGACGAAATATTATTTTTTGCAACTACTCTTTTTCTTAATACGCCTAAGTACGTGAGGTAAAACTTGGAGGCGCCATTGAAAAGCTCAATTTGAACACACATCTTATCTCTTATCTGTACTGACCCGCAGCATTGCACGAAGCTAAGTCCCCACCCGCTTGCATTCCACTAATATTCGACATCGCGTACGCACATAAAATTTTTCTGCAATCATATAGGCACATTCCCACACACAAACCGTTTTAAGAAAGCAAAAGTCGAGCAATTGTGTGAAGAATGTCGCACCGTTCGCCGGAAGTGCGTCGGACGGGCGTGAACCTCTATGCGGTGTGCCAAAGGAACAAAATTATTCAAAGCGCATTTGACGGTTGCTAATGGCCGTAATATTTATATGTTTGCTTTCTTCCTGGCTGAGTATGCCGAGATATTTTCAAACACACCGTTCAGACACAGATTTTGGGCGTCAGTAAAAGCTCGTCCAAAAGGCTTAGCGAAGAGTAGGAGACGCTTGTTGGAGCCTCTGTCGTAGCTAGCCGACCTCAGCGTTTGCGAAAACCTAATTTCCTATCAGCGTAAAATTTGAGTGGGCGATATATGATGACACGAGGAAGACATCATAGTAATTTGTGTGCAAGGAAATTGCCCCAGTTTTCGTTTTGTTTTGTTCGAGAATGAATGTATTGTACATTCGTGAAAAGTCAGATAATCGAAAACTCAAGCGGCGCATTCGGTCACGGCGTGATAGCATGAAAGGAAGCTGCTCAATCGAAACCGAAACTGAGTGGCCAACTAGTTCCCAGAGGGCACTTCGTCGAAGCGTCGTGTATTTCTTCGTGCCCCCGTTTCTTTTCTTTTTTTTTTTTTTTTTTTATAGAGTACCACAGTAGCACAATTATATATTTGCGACTTCGTGTTTAGACTAGAACAGACCTCATCCAGCATCGAGCCAGCTGTTGATGGACTTTGCTAGAAAGCCGATCCAGCATCCAATCCAAAGCCGGACAAGGTGAGCGAAAACAAATGGCGAGCGGGACGTTGGCGTGTTTCGCGGCATGGTTCAGGTACGGTGGCTCCAGGGTTGAAAAATTGTATGTGACCGTGGTGGCGAGTGAAAGCGCTGCATGTAAATCTATGCGAGGCAGAAGTCGCTTGAAGTTACCGCCTGTGCTTTGATTTTGATGTTCGTGTTCTGTCGGTTTCGTTGTATGTAGGCCTAGTAAACCAACTTCCGCTCAACAACGCTTTCTGGTGGTTGACACGACGGTGTTGACGGCCCTTCGCCGTATCCCGACGATCGTTTCGTCGGCATGTCCCGCAAGACAGAGTAGCCGTCAAGTAAGAGAAAGTACGAGCAGCAGGAATGGGATGCGGCCGCGTATTATTTCGTAGTGGCGAGCGGCGGCACTTTTCTGTTTACGTTCGCGCACGTTTTTGCATCGGCTTCTGCCCGTTCGTAGTGTAGATGCCCTTTGCCTTTCGTTGCATCGCGCTGTTTCCACGCTTCGAGTCGCACCTTCGGGGCTCCCGGCCGAGTATGGACGAGTGTCGCGCCGCTAGCCCGGCGAGACGGCGATCGGTCGGCGTTGCCTCCGTGTGTTGTAAGCGTTGAAGTAAAATTAAGGGGGGGGGGGGGGGGGGGGGGATAGAGTCAATCGTGTACGCGCGCTAGGCGCATTAGGGGAGAAAGGTGGGGGAGAAGATAGAAGTAGGAGTCGGGCGTCAGGAGCGTCGTCTCACCGTCCCGCTAGCTCGTCATCCCATCGTCGCGCTTAATCCGTGAGTGAGTGAGTGAGTGAGTGTAAGTGTGTGTGTGTGTGTGCGCGCGCGCGCGCGTGCGTGCGTGCGTGCGTGCGTGCGTGCGTGCGTGTGTGTGTGTGTGTGTGTGTGTGTGTGTGTGTGTGTGTGTGTGTGTGTGTGTGTGTGTGGGGGGGGGGGGGGGGGGGGGTTTAGCACTGGTGGCTGGCACCGCGCGGTGTCCGGTGATCAAGGCGGTCTCCGGGGGCGACCGCGCCGTGTTGGTGGAGGCATGCTAGCTCGCCCAGACGCTGCTGGCGGGGCATCGGTTTGTGCCGTCCGCGAGACGCTTGTTCGTTATTTTATTTATCCTTGCATCAGGTTTTAGATTATGACGGTAACCTTGCATTGTTTGCCATACTTCGCAAAGTCGTAACAATTTTTCTGCAGGCGACTCCTAGAGCCGCTCGTCAAATTTTGCGGCACGCAATACAACTTTTTTTTTTTTCGACACAACATTTTTTTTTGCATTATAACTTAGCGGTATGTCGAAACTTTCTGCTCGTAGCGCAATCACACCAATGCTGAAAAATTCCGCACGTACTGGCTAACCGTCATCATCGTAAGCTCGGCTCGTTTTTCCGAGTTCACATCTAACAAAACTAGGTTCCTTCTATGAAAATACGGTGTACCGTTAAATACCGGGCAAGCGCGCACTCAAACTTTGGAAATAATCGCAAAAAAATGGGGGATGGGTGCTTGTCCGGTCGTCAATTTTACATATAAATGTACTGTTCGTATTTCCTCAGATCTCAAAAATTTGGTAATGGGCGCTTAATGTGGAATGGGCGGATGCACGGTATTCTACGGTATGTCCAGGCAGTTAGCGGCATCCTACGCCTCGGTAAGCACAACTGCGCGTTGTGCAGTCCACCACCGGCATGGCACAGGGCCCCGTCCTTACCTAGCGTCTCGTCTTATGCAAGGAATGTATACTTCGTTCGCCCCTAAGCTGAGACTAGAATCTCCGCCTTCAGTGCGAGCTCGCTGGCTTCTGCAGTGCTTTGGTTTTGCGTGCCTGCATGATCGCACTTGTGTTAGCAAGGGCAGAAAGCTTGCGTTGAAGGCGGAGCTTCTAGTCTCAGCTTAAAAATGAACGGAGTATAGTCGAAACGCCATTGCCATTGCTTGAAAAACTGGATGTAAATAAGCTATTTGCACGAAACCTCGGTATCACAAAACCGTTGCAAGTAAAAAGCTACAAAGCATGGTGTAAACAGACCTTTACGCGAAATGAGCACTGTTTTTCTCTTTTACTGCTACTTTTATTATTTGGCGTTACCGGAATGCGACGCCGTCGTGTTTCATTGTGGCCGTGCATGGGGATATAGCCATGGAGTTATTATAATATATGCTAAAGGAGGTTGCGAAGACGTGACAGTGTGAAGTAACTTGAATGAACATCATGTCTGACCACGCCTTTTATTCTAGTGAGGAGGAGTACTGTTCATCGAAGAGAATGACGAAATAACGGTGGCGCCCATCCCTCTGTTGTGGTTTGACGTGAGTATGAAACAACGGCGTGAGGCCAAGCAAAATTTTGGGGCGGACATCTTTTCTCGTGTGCGAGCCTACCGAGCACCAGCCCCTGACTGGCCTTCGTTCAGAGCATCAAGTTTGCAGAAATGCAGTAAGTATTATTTTGTACTGTTCCTTTTCACCTAAAGTCCTGATAATGTGCTAGCACACGTTCTTGATCAGCCCTCTGTTAGCATGCTTGACCAGATTAGCTTGCGTGCAGTTGCTCAATTTAGTTAGCTCCATAATCTTCGTAGTGGCACATGCACAATTACAGTGGTGACCGAGTCCTTCAATACGCTACTGGGCACAAAACTTTCTCGTAATGCTGTGGGAAAGCATTGCATGCTGCCAAGAACGGTCGTGGTGCTGTCCTACTCTGGAGAGGTTCGACGGACAGCGTAGAGACTTGTTTTTAGGTGCAGCAAGTTCGCTTCGGCGCCGTGCTGTGCAGCTTCTGTTTGTACTTTGAAATGTTGTACTAATGGCCCGATTTTGGTGTTTTGTGAAATTGAGATCTCGGCAGGCTTGTACTGAGGGAGCTGACCTTTCTTTAACAGACACGTCGCCTGCTAACGTGAGTAAAGAGGGAGGGCTTGTCTGCCCTAGAGTGTCATTTGCTGCGGGAAACAAGACGCCGTTGCGTCGTCTGCTACCAGAACTGAAGAAAGGTGGATCATCTGTTACACGCTGTATGCTGCAAGTGAAACGATAGAAAAAAAGTTGCATTGGGAACTTCTGCTATTTAACAAGGGGCGCAATTGATGACCTGTGCTTTACTTGGAAGTGCCAATTCATTCTAAAGCGTCATATGCCTAAGTGCGAGGTATCATGTGACCACAGAGCAGCCACTTGCAGCCAATTTCGTTTTCTATACCAGGGCAAGTGTTCTTAACAGGATTCTCTCCCATTCTTAGACGGTTGATAGTTTAAAAAAAAGGCCGTCCGGAAAGCCCAGAAAATGGCAGTTCCAACAAGGGTACAGGCACCAAGCTAGGCCTAATAGGCACGGACCTATATATAAGATTTTTAAACTGGTGCTTATCGCAGCCAAGCGCAGCGCGTCTTGCGTGCGTCGCCGACGAATCAGTAGTGTTATTTCCTTTGATTGTCAAAAAACATCATAAAACTTTGTGGAAGCATTCGTTTTGACCGTACAAGCCGAAACTGTGAAGTTCTGAAAATTGGGGCTGTGTCTCCTTTTCAGAAAGTTTATTTGATTAACACATTTTTTTTATTAAATTTATAAATATTGCATACAAAAAATAATTTCTCTTAAATTTTTACAAAAATTTGAAACACTCACTGTGTCTGGCAACCGTTCCAAAGCTACCCAAACCATCCGAAACACCTGAAGGTTCAAGCGTTCTTCTGAAACTTCCCGAAACCCAAGTTTCTGAAAAAGTTTCTTCGCATCATCAGTGCATAATGTTGATCAGCAAAATGGATAATGCTTTCTTATGCCTTGGTTGTCTTGCAGCCTTCGACGCTCAGCTGCTTAGGCCGTGATAGACCTGCACATCCAGAATGGGCACCTACAGCAGCAGAACAGGGAACTGCAAGTCTGTTGGGCAGGTGCTCGGGCACGTGGTGTCTTTCAAGCACCAGGGAGAGCAGGCGAGGCCCGGGGAACAGGCGACGCCCCAGGAGCTGGCCAGGCCTGAACCACCCGAGCTGTTCCTGATGCCTCTCCGCAACATGGAACAGCTTATGCTGCAGAAGCGCAGCTGAAGAACTTCACCAACAGGACACTGCCGGTATTTATGTGTCCTCTTTTTCACAATATTGACGGGCATAAGGCTACGATTCTTACTTTGTGGTTTAACTTGTGTTATCTGAAGATTTATGCAAATGGGGTTGGAATGTGGACTGAAGCCTTTTACCGTAATATTTCAAATGGATGCCCACCCAAACTATGTTTGAAGCACGGTCGGTGGCAAATTAAAAATGAGTAAGTTACCCTACCTTCATTACGGGCCTTCTGTTATTTATAACAGCAGAGTGCATGCACAGCCAATGCACAATGGAAGGCTATTTATTGTAAGGGGTACCCTTAAACTGAACCGTGCGATAGAATTGTGTCAAGGTGACGCAACGCCAGTTGCATGTTTTGTAAGTCAGCTTTAGTAGCCTGCGTAAACTTTTTGCAATTGTCAAACTGCGTTTTATAGAGGCTACTGAAGGGAGAAATGATGGACGGTGGCCACCAAAAATTAAATATCTGTGCATCATTACATTTTTGAACAGTTCTTTCCACCTGAAGGTCGTGTAGACAAGAGGCCTTCATGTGCAACCTCATTGAACGGCATTTTATGTCTTTTTCAACTGCCGCTTCTTGAAATATTTTTAAGTAAAGCATTTCACAACGGGGGAAGTAAAATCGCCCAACGTCGCCTTTGGGTGCTTACAATATGTCGGCCTGCAAATAATCATAAATCATGCTGATTTGCTACGACACTTCTGCCCGTTTTATCCTTAGAAGTTAAATTCCGCACCTGCAACAACTCTCGCCGTGTGTATGTGTGCGGAGCACACACAAACCTGCCTGCGTGCTTTTTGTGTTTAATGCTTGCTTGACAGAAGGATCGAGAGGCTGTAGTATATATTGGGCTTCTATTGGTTTTGTTCCTGTTCTCACTTGAGGCTATAATCAAGAGATCTAAATATTTAGGGCAATAAATTCATTTGTGCTTTCGGCATCTGCTACAGAAGTAAAGGTACATGCTTGAAAATAACTTTTAGCCTGGTCTAAAATCGCTTTTGAGCGTGCCCACCATATGCGTATGCCCAAACAAATTTATAAGGGGTTGCCAGATAAATCTTAATTAATTCCATCTTTACTTTACATTAGTAGTGCATTTCCAAAATGAGATGTTAGCCAGTCCTAACCGAAGGTCACCCTATGAGAGGAAATCAAATTTTCCAAGGTGAAAGAGTAACTGTCATTGCATCCGCCACTTTATTCAGGGGGTGTGAGTGCATGCGTAGCTGTGTCTCCAGGCATAGCATACGGTAGTCGCACAAGCGATTATTACACGAGGCGAGCTTGAGCTGAGTAAGTTAGTTCATTGGCCTACAGGGCCACAACTGAGTCAGCACTAAACAAAAATATGGAAAGGTAACTACGCATACTGTGCTGCTGTTGCCATTTTTTGCAACTATGATGACGGTTTTGGTCAATTCCTGCCTTTTTATGCCTTTTTCAATTCCAGTCTTCGTAAAGTCGTAAAATAGGTGATAAATTTGTAGGGTGACTAGCCGGCAGCTAGACTAAGCTTTAACAAAGTCAAGATGCGCAGGGTCTTGAATGCACTGTTTTGAGAACCACATACATTATTAAAATTACTGAGTGGATGCTGATGGGCAAAGAGGATCCATCAAAACGTTTGCACAATTTGAACGTTGCAACGAATTTGACTGACTAATGAGATTTAGCGGAGTATGGAGGGGAATATTTTAATCTTTCTGGTTTCGTCTAAGACAGGTTGAGATGCCATATATTCTAATATTTTTTATTCTCTCTCTAGTAAATATTGTAACATTTTGATGCATGTATAGTGTGGCTTGCTGCATTTACCTGGGCATTCACATTCTCTTACTTGAGACATGTTCATACCATTGTATCTGCATATAAATAACTTTATTGACATATTGAGAACACATTTTGTCTTTCTAGGAGGAGCAGCTCGTGTGTCTAGGAGACAGCAAGAACCTGCAGAAGGTGGTACGAGAGATGGTGGGACGCCTGTTCTCAAAGCAAGTCCAGGAGCAGTTCTCCGGCCCTTCTGGGCTACCAAGGAAAGTCAAGGTTCAAGGACGCCATGATGTGTAAGGTGGTCATCGGTAACGCATATACTTTACTAGCTATTAAATTGATAGTATCTCTATTAAAGCTCAATAGACAAGCACAATCTTTGAAATATGTTGACAATTAAAGGGAAACTAAAACACTTTTTGACAAAACAACGAGTTATAGGTGACTTCTGGCGTATTTTTGTCCTGTGAATCTGAATATCGCTTTCGTTTTCCCCGAAGGTGTAATTAGACGCGAGAAAACATGAAAAGCCTCAGAGCAGTCGTGACGTCGTACTAGGATCTTTGGGGCGCCAAGCACGTGTCGCTCGTGTGGGCGGCGCGTGCAATTGCAAGCTTGCCAGTTGTATTTTTCCACACTGATGCCAGTTGTGGCGTCTATTTCTGACCTTTTTACAAATACAAGAGTTCACGTGCATAGGTTTGACAGGAGCTGAAGATGAGCGAGAGCAGAAATTCCGAAAACTCCCAGCATGACGTCACGCCCCGGGAAGGAGGGGCTTCAGCTGTACTTTAGAAATTAATTTCTGCAGCCTCCGTGCACCAGATTGAAAAAATGAACTCGATATTCGTGATCCTGGATGCCATATCAAGACAATTTTGGTGTTCTTCCTCAAATACAGAACAGCTTCAGTTTCTCTTTAAGTCTTGCAATATGCAAAATTTAAGTCGTCATATCCTGTCGTTTTTTTTTTTTTTTTTTTTTTTTTTTTTTTTAATTTTGACTTGCATTTTTTATTATGAATATCTCCTGTGTTACCATTCTCGGAACCTTCATACTGAAAAGCAGCGTCTTGAAGGAACAGTGAAAAAAGGTTTTTGTTGCTCTTGTCTTGTTATCCTGTTAGTTTCCAGGTTGAAAATCTAATGACGACCATTTAGAGGCCTTGGTCTGTAGAGTGTCAGTTGGGGAAGTTTTGCTCTTTTTTTAACCACTCATCTCTGCACCCCACCCCTTCTCGCCTCCCGCCCCGTCTCGCCCCCCATTTCAGATTAATAGGATGTTGCGTGAAATAGCCATATGCCTCCATAGAATCTGCACCTTAGCGTGGTAGCCAAACCCACAATCTCCACCTCTGTGGTGCTCTCTTTCTGTCACCTTTGAATTGCAGGCTAAGTGAGGGACCTATATTTACACAAAGTAAACGCTCACAAACTGCAGTGTGTGAACAGCACCTTGTGTGTAGCTAATATGCAAGATATTGGCTTCCCCTATCCCTCAACTAATCTGTGTGATCTGACAATTCTCTTTACAGGTGCCATACAAAGTTGCACTCGTGCAGCGTGGACGCGGTGCAGAAGTGGCTGACGGGCAGGGAGGCGGGCAAGGGCAATAGAGTTAAAAAGACGGACACTCCACTGGTGGTTCCAACCGCCCTTGACGATGAGGGACACTCTGGCTGAGGAGCTAGCTGCTATGGATGCACGAGTCACAATAAAGAATCTCACGGTAAAAAAAAATTTGTATGTTCCCTTCTTGTACTACCCACAATATGCATCTGGGCGACAGATGAATGGGACATGTTGTCTCAACGAGTATACAATAATTGCCATGAGTATACTGTACACATGGAGAAAGTCAATTGTTCACACAGAATTGTTTCTTAAAATTGCACAAATACTAAACCGGCTTTTTTCAGTTCGTCCGAAAAACATGTTAAAAACGGTCAGCACCTATAAAAGATATGAAAACCAATAAAATAGTTTGAATTGAGAAATTTAGCATTTCCACATTTAAGTCAATTTGATCTACTGAGAAGTTAGCTGTTTAAAAATGCAGTAAAATGTCATTCCTGGGCTTTAAAGCCTGACACAGCTAGATTCTGCTGGTTCTATGGTGGGTACACTGAATGACGCATACGCTGGTGCTGATCCGCAATTTCGCAGCCAATGACCTGCAATTACGCTGGCACTGATCTGTTTTTACGCTGGGACTAATCCGCAACTGGACTGGCTCTGACCCGGAAACACGCTGGCACACTGATGGTTTCCTACCGTACGACCGGTTCCATGCCGGGGATCTGTGTCGGGAGCTCGCTGGGAACATCCCGTATTCCCGGCATCCCGGTTTCCCAATAAGTTCCCAGTACCGGCCGGATTCCGGCATTGGGCCCGGCCAATGTCGCCCCTTGGGGCGTTTCCGGTACTGGCCGGTATCAGTATCCCGGCAGGCCAATACCGCCCCATCCCCAACCTGGCGTGTTGTGCTACTTGGGTGTTCACTATACCTGATGATACCATAATTTAAACATGTGGGAGCGTATTAAAACCTCAGTGAGAGTCCACTTAGTAAAACCACTCAAATCTCATTGTCTGCCCAATATTTTCAAAATACCGGTCTTATTTGGGTATCGAGTAGGGAAAGATATTCCTTTTTAATATTTATTCAATACGAATAAGATTTTGGTGCAGACTTGAGACAACAAATAGTCTTAGTTCTAAACAAAGCGCGTCTTTATTTTACGCGTAATACTTTCCATTGACTTCGTAACGGTATTTATTAAAATTACTTTTAGGTTTACGCAGGGGAATTGTCTGAAATTTGCAGTCGCAACAAAGCTATGAAACTGGCCATTGATGCAGGCTACCACCCACGGTAGCAAACTATAGCGTTATATCTCGGTCAAAGCACTAGAAAAAAGCGGTGACTGGATGAGCTAGCAAAATGATTCTCTCGCCCGCATACTGTATGATGTGGGCTGCCAGCCTCCGAAGATGAACGG